GACCCTGGAACTAAGTTTCCTGACCCCCAGTCTTCTTTTCGTTCCTAGTTCTAGGGAAAAGGGGAGGGCAGGACTGGATGATTCAGCCTCTCCTTTGGCAGGAGACGCCTCCTGCCGGGGCGGGGCCGGGCACGCCTGGCAAGTGGCGAATGGTGGGGGTGGGGGGCACGGCAGGGTCAGCAGCCTCCAGCACCCCAGCGCCATGGTGCCCTCCTCTGACGGGGCCTGGGGTTCACACCCGGTTCCGTTCTCGCTGCGGCAGCACACTGGCTAGAGGTGACTCTGGGATCCCTGAGCAGGGAGGATGCTGGGGGTGGGGAGATGGGCTTGGGCTGTGTCTATTGTGAGCACAAGAGGGACCAGACCCAGAGAGGGCTGGTGAAGACAGAGAGAGAGAGAGACAGAGTCCCAGCCTGATGCGTTCTGCAGAGGTGGGTTTGTGCAAGAGCCTGCAGTTAAACCCCCCTCAGGTGTGACGGTGCTTTGTACTTTATGAGGCATTTCTGCATCTCATTTGCTCAGCAGACATTATCATCCCTGTTTCACTGATGAGCAAGTTGAGACTCAGAGAGGTGAAGGGATTTACTAAAGGTAGCCCAGCAAGTGGAACAGGATGCCCTGTGGAGCCCCTCGGATTGGGTTTGGCAAAGGAGGGCTGTCTGCCGGGACCAGCCGGGCTGAATGGGTTTGGGAGCGAGAGGTGGCGCTGGAAACCCACAGACTGCTCCCTGGCCAGATAACCTCCACCAATCACAAAACCTTTTTGAGCCTCGGTTTCTTCATCTGTAAAATGGGAATAACTGGCGATCCTTACCTCGCAGCTTGTGAAGATAGAACACCACAATAAAACTGATGACACTTGAGCCTAATGCCTTGCACATAGGAAGTGCTTAGTAAGCAGCCACTCGAGTAAGGAAAAGGAGCACACCGGCCTGTGACCACTTGCCAGGACTGAGGGATTCCCAGCGCCTCCTTAGGCAGATGTGAGCCAGCCTGAAACTCAGAGAGGGTTGTCACCGCCTGGGGGACCCTCAAGGTGCTGGGGGCAGGTCTGTGTGTCCCAGAGCCCCATGGCGAGCGGTGGCTAAAAAAAGCTCTTCCCGGGACAGCGCTCTCGCTCTCGCTGGCTCTGCTGTTTGCCCCGTGCCTGTGACTCCGGTGCTTGGGCCGTCATTATCATTCCTCCTGCGTTTTTTCTCCAGCGGTTATTTATTTTTCTGTGAGGAAAGAATGTGGGGAATTTACCACAGGGTGCTGGCCTTCGCTTTCAGTGGCCTCTTCTATAAGAAGGAAGCAGGCGAGACAGATGGCAGGAGAGGCAGAGGAGGCGGAGGGTCCGGGCCGGCTCTGCGGCCTGAGCAGAGGGGCAGTTATGTAACCCACCCAGGGGCCCGGCACTGATGCCGCGGTGCTCCTGGTCTCCGGGCGTGAGCCCCGCAGTGGACATAGCTCCTGTGGAACAGCGCCTGGCTCACGGCATCCACCCCCCGGCCCCTGGGCAAGCCCCGTGGGTGTGTTCCTCTTTCAAAGGTTCCTTTCTCTCCAGCTGGTCTTGATTTGGGGTATGGGGTGGGTAGGGGAGTGGGGTGGGGTTGACTTTGAGCCGTCTAGCCTCTGCTGAGCTGTCCCCATTGCTTAGAATGACTCTTCATCTTTCAAGACCTAGGGCATATGTCACTCCCTCCAGGAAGCCTTCCTGGATTGCTCCACCCGAATTCATCACTCTCTTTGGCTATGTTCTCCCTTCTCTTCATGAAAGATTCTGCCTCTTAGGTCTGATTTCAGGTTTCATCTCTCTCTATCTACAAATGTGTTACTTTCTCCTTTTTTCCCTCCCTCACCCCCTCAGAAACAACCCTCTAGATTTCCAATCTACAATCTAGGTGGATCCTGGATCTAGACAAATCTAAAATTCATCTCCAGGGATGAGTGATGGAGCAAAAGGTGAAGGTGGGAGGCTTTGGGTTCTGGGCGTGCCCGTCCTTCAGTAATTTATTTATTCCACACGTATTGAGCCCCTTCTGGGCGATGGCATCTGCTGGCTCCAGGGGCATTTAGAGAGGATGGAGACAAGCCCCGGCCCCAGGTTGGCACAGGGTTAAGGGGAAGGACCGCATCTTTGGAGGGCCCAGGGTGTGCCAGGCCGTGGGATGAGTGGAGGGGACCCAGAGGGGACTCAGGCCCCGCCCTGGCCCTGGCAGAGGTTTAGAGGAATCCACCTCTTCCTTGCCCTGGCTCGCTACCGTTTTGTCTCCTGGATTGTGTGTTTTCTTTGGGAGGGTGGGGCATGATGGTCCCTTCTGTACTCCCAAGGCTTCCAGGGAACTGGGAGGGGTGGCGCAGCAGGAGTGGCTTGGCGAATGCAGGCCTGGTGTGCCAGGGTTGGACTGGGAGGTCGGAGCCTGGTCTCTCATCTTGGCTCTGTGCACTGGCCCCTTCCAGTTTGCTGTGTACCTAGGGCTCAGCCTGCCTCTCTGGTTTGCTGTTTGCAAGTTTCTGGAAATCTACTGCTTATAGATTAGTGATTAGGCCAGTAGAACAGGCAGGAGGAGGACTGGGGCTCCTGGCTGGGACCCTGCAGCAGGACCCTGGTCAGCCAGTGGTGAGCAGGGCGTGTGGCCTGCAGGGTAGTGGCCAGGTCAGCCCTGGGCTGGCTTGGGAGCCCTCACTTTAGTTTCCCCTACCCCTCCATCTCTACCCTGCCTGGTCCCGACCCACTACCAGCAGGGAGAGAGAAACCAGGAGTTTGGCCAGGCCCAGCCTCCTTCCACTCTATCCCTGAACTTTCTCAATCTGCTCTTTCATCTGGGCCCCACTCCTGCTCTGAGGCCTCTGGGCCAGGTTGAGCATGGGAAGGAACACTGACCTAGGAGTCTGGCTGGATTGACGAGGGCTTCCTGGAAGAAGTGGCCGTTGGGCTGGGCATGGGACAGTGGGTGGGGAGAGTGAGTGTGCTTTGCAGGGGGAGCTCTCCAGAAGGAAGGTGCCCCAGGCGTGGGATCAGTCAGACTGCCCAACTCTGCTCTGCCCCTCGCTAGCTGCGAGACCTGGGATGAGTTCTGTGTGCCTCATTTTCCTCGTCCATAAAATAGGGATAACGGAACCTCCTTTGTGAGTCCTCGTGAGAATCGAATGAGAAAAGACATGTTAAGCTGTTAGCTTGGCATTATCTGGTGCTCCCAAAATGTTGGCTATTGTCATCCTTATGGACTTTGCCATTATTCTCCAAGCACCTGTGGCAGGTGTGGGGGAGGGGAAGGGAGAATGACAAAAGTGACACAGTTGAGCCCCTGCCCTCGAGGCTCTTGCAGTCTGTGGGGGAAAATAAGCCCCAGACCCTGATCGCTGCAAAGCATAACATTGGGAGAGGGGGCCTGGCCCACGTGATGGGCCCTGACCGGGTGTTGGGCCACCCTGGGCTTGAATCCCAGCCCTGCCTCTGTCTGACCGTGCAACCTGGAGCAAGTCACTGCACCCCTCTGCGCCGGTTTCTCCTCTGACATGGCGATGAGGGTACTGCTGGCTCACGCGTTGCTGTGACAGTACATGAGCAAGGGCCTGTCGTGGTGCCTGGCATGTGGCGAACACACACCTGAAAGGTGTGTGTTTTACTAAATGCATGATATGCAAAGTGATGAAGTTCTGAGTGGTGCAGATGAAACACTGGCGGGCCAGGGAAGGCTTTGTGCTGGGGGTGGTGGCATTCGAGCTAGGTGGGAAGGCTGGCAGTTTGGGGCACGTGGAGAGGAGGTTGGACAGAGCAGAGGTCCAGGAGCGGGGTGTGTGCAAACCATGCTCGGGGGCAGGAACCCACGGGCAGCTGCGGGAACCGCGAGCCACTGACCTCTCCCCACCAGTAACGTGCGCTCTTGAGCGGCCCTGACGCCAGGGGCTTTGAATGCCAGGATGGGGACTGTCCCCTTGCTCCTGTCCTGGGGAGGCGGCAGAGGGCTCTGAGCAGGAGAGAGGCATGAGGGGAGCCGGGGGAGGAAGATGAATCTGGCAGCGTGGGGCGGGTAGAGTGGCGGGGGAGAGACTGGGGGTGGAGAGGCCATTTAAAAGGCTGTTGCAAAATCGGTTTTCCTGATAAAGAGCCGGCTGAGTCATCCGTGGAGGAGAAAAGTCACATCCAGCTCCTCCGTGCTGCTGTAGATGTGGGATTTTCCTGTCCTCGTCAGCCAGGCGATTGGCTGCCTCTCCCGGCGCTCCGAGAACCGAGGCTGCCGGCCGGCGGCGAGAGCTCCTGGGGGAAGCCGGGCTGCAGGGAGGGCCCAGCTGGAGTGAGTAAGAGGAGCACCCAGGGGCGCCTTTGTGGCTTGGGGTATGTGATCTAGGGCATGTGGCATCCCCCCCCCATCTCAGTTCCCCCTCTGGGCATCAAGGAAGAGGCGAATGGTGACTTCTGCCAGCCTGTGGGTGGCGAGGCTGGGGCTCAGCCTGGGGCTCCCCACCCCACTTCTGTGTCTTCTCTCATGCCCGGCGGTCGTTCCCACCTAATAGTCCCACGGAGTACTGTGCTCCAGAGAGGAGCCCTGGCTGCCTGCCGGCCTCCTCCGTCAGGCTGCACTCACCAGGGCCCTGGCTGGATGGAGAGCGCCCCAGGGCATGGAGACTGTGTCATTTCCTGCTTTCGGTGGGGAGGATGTGGGGCAGGGGCTGGCAAGGTAGCCAGGCCATTACTCAGGCCGCTTCATCTTCCTGCCCCCAGCTCGGCCAGAGGTTGTGCAGCGGCCAGCCATTGGCTCCTTCCTGACCCCGCCAGGGGGGCAGTTTACGCAGCCTGTTTACCCTTCCTGTTGCCAAGACTCCCGGGCAGCCACAATGGGCTGCCTTGAGCCAGTCTCTGTTCCTGCCCTGGCTCCCTGTCCCACCCCACCCACCCACCCCAGCCTGGACACTCCCATTGACGGCAGCCGTGTGAAGAAGCATTTCCTTGAATTCTCCCTGTCCTGACCTTCTCCTGTGGCCTCCCTTCCCCTGCCCTCCCTCCCTCCTGCAGAGCCATGGGCCCAGTGAGGGGCAGAACAGGCAGCTGCCTGCAGAGGGTGATGGGGTTGGGGAAAAGGCTCGTCCCTGCCTGAGCCAAACTAGACCGGGGGTCTCCCGACTCCCAACCTTGTGATCTTTCCACTCTACTAGTCTTTCATGCCCTATCAGTCATTTCTACCTTAGTAAGAATGAATTTATCAGCTCTTCTGAGAGGAGGAAGGGAGAGAGCATGAGTTGCTCTAGGCAGCTGAGTTTCCAGGGGAGAGGGCCCTGCAGAGGAGCACTGACCACGAGATGAGGACGCACAGGGCCCTGCCCACCACCATCCAGAGGCACTGGGGCCCCTCTTGGTGCCTCCCTCCAGGGACCGGGCTGGAAGGCACAGTAGTGAAGGGATGGGACAGAGCAGCCAGACTGGCTGAGTTTTGACTCCAGCTCTGTCACTTACAAGTTGTGTGACCCTGGGCAGGTCTCTCAGGACCCGGTTTCATCTGCAAAATGGGAAGAATAATAATACTCACCCCGGGGCTGTTGTGAGGACTGAAGGAGGTGATGAGCACGGGGCTAGCACTGCACTTGGGCCTCAGCGAGGGCTCAGCAGTCACCGCAGCCATCAGGCCCTCGGTCTCACAGCCGTGCTGGGGCTTCTCGCCCCTCTTCCACTTGCCTTGTTGGACCCAGGTCTCCTGACCCCAGGCAGCTCCTCATTGGGTCTGCCCTTCCCCCTTCCTCTCTTGAAGGCCTGTCTTCAGGGCTCCTGACCCCATGTCCAAGGTGGGTCTTTAAAGGGCTAGTGTCCCAACCTGGCCCTGCAGGGGCTTAGCTTGGAGGGGGTAAGAGGCAGTGGTGCATGGTGACCTGCACAGGTGCAGGCTGCAGACAGGCAGATTGAGGGCTCAGTGAGGTGCCTGGCCCTCTGGCCCTTGGCCATCCTCTGCCTCTCTGGCACCAGGGAGCACAATCTTGGACCAGCTGGCCGGGGCATTGCCAGAGGTGGCAGTTCCTGGAGCTGCCCCCTGGTGCCCTGTGACAAGGGACAGACTCTGGGGAGCCTGTAATTGGCCAAGCCGCCCCTTCTCCCAGCTTTGTTTGTATAGGATGGCAAAAATTGTCTGGACTGCTGGCTGGGTCTGGTCCAAACCTCCTGCCGAATTCCTTTTCTGTGGAGTCACTGTGGGTTGGGGTGGGGGCTGTGGGAGCTCTCCTCGGAGGGCAGGGCTCACTCACCTCCTGGCCTTTTCTGCTGTTGCTCTTGTCTCAGAACAGTAGCTTAGGGATGGTTCCGAGCTCAGAGAGGTGTTGGCGGAGGGTCAGCAGCACAGCGCAGGCTGTGACTGGAGCCCAGCTGGAGCCAGCAGACCTGGGTCCTCGGCCCACGTCCTTCTCTGTGACCTCTTCCCTGACTGGTCTCCCAGTCCCACTTATCTCAGAGGGCCTTCCACACTCTGATAGTTGAGGATTTTCTAAAGCCATTGCCTTTTTTAGTCAGCCTGGGAATGGGGCTGAAACAGAAAGGTGAGGAGGAAAGCAGAAAAATGCAGGGACATGGAGAGGTCTCGGTCATTCAAACACCGAAGCGCTTTCTATGAGCCTCCCAGTGTGGGAGCCAGCCCGCCAGGAGCCTGGGACTCTGCACTCACGTAGAGCCAGGGGTGAACCCAGCTCTACTCCGCTCTGGCTCTGTGACCTCGGGCTGCTCACTTGACCTCTCTGAGCCTTGGTTTTCTCATGCATAAAATGTGCATAATAATGCACTGTGCTTTGTAGGGTTGTTAGGGGAATTAAGTAATATTTGCAAAGTGCAGGTATACAGTAAGTGCACAGTCAGCGTTAGCTACTATGGCTGCAACTGTATCACAAGAAACACTGGCAGGACTAGAGATGGTTATCCTGCCAGTGTCCTGCGGGGATACAATTTGTATCTGCAAATCTCTGCAGGACTGGCAGGCTGGAAAGAGACCGCTTTTTATCTGTGCAGCCCCGGGGCGCAGAGCCACATCAAGAAGTGGATGAAAGTTAGTAGGGGGAGCAACTTCATAGCTGAGGAATGTTAATTAGTGGACGACACCTCCTGGGGTAGCGAGCTCATGTCACTGGAGCATGTAAGCAGAGGCTTGCACACTCAGGGATTTGGTTTTGGGGACACAAGATTGTGTGGGGATTGGACTCATTGGCAGCTACCTGTGAGATTCTGAGGTTCTGTGTTTTGGGGCAATAAGCTCTGCCCCCTCCGTAACTCTGGGACCCCTGCTGCTTGGCCTTCAGGACCCTGACCTACGGAGTGCATCTCCTTTGCTGGAAGACCTGAGTCCCTGCAGGGAGTAGAGTGGGACAACCAGCTTATTCCAGGGGAACATGGGCCGTCTGCCTGTCTACCTGGGCTTGGTGGCAATAAGCCGCTGGCGTTCGTGACTTCATTGTGGCCTCCCAAACCTAATGTCAACTGCTTTACCCCCTTGTCAGTTAAGGAGGCTGTGGCTCTGAAAGGTACAGGAGCTTGCCAGGGTCACACAGGTGGCTAATGGCAGAGACTGGCTTCAGGCCAGCAGGCCTGGTTTCTAAGCAGAGCAGAGGAGCTGGACCTTGCACGGGCTGAGCAAGCCCTTAGGGCCCTCCGTGTGGCTGGCCATCTCCTGGTTCAGCCCCCCACAAGGGAACAGCCTGGGTAGATCTTTTACAGAGGGGGTGATTCAGGCGGGAGAGGCCTTACCAGGTGCAGCAGGTGTCACGGTGGGTAGGGCAGGCTGTGTGCTTAGACTGTTTCTAACAGGTGGGGGGAAAGCCAGCCCTGATGGCAGGTTGGAAAAAGGAGGGTGGTGCCAGAAAGCCTGTGGCTGCTTGGCCTGGTCCCAGTGAAGCTGCCGTCTGCAGCTCCTCTGCTCTGGGTGGGCCTCCCTGCTGGCTCCAGTGAGGGGGTCAGCAGGCTCCAGCCCAGGCTACTCTCTGGACCTCAGTTTTCCCATCTATAAAATGGGGTGGTGGTGAAATAGCACCTCTATAAAGGCTCTTCCAGCTCTGGGAGTCTATGAATTCCGAGCCTCACGACTGGCAGGATGCCTAGAAAGACTGTCCCCGGAGGCCTCCTCCACATGTCACGGCCAGTGCTAATGAGGGCAAGGTGGGAGGAGGGCAGGGTCAGATTCCTCAAGAACTAATTAGCTTCCCACAGGAGGGAGGAGAAGGGGGAGCCAGGAGGAATGTTCTCAGCCACTGACTGAGCTCCTGACCCTGGCCACAAGCTGGTCCATCCATCTGTCTGTCGGTTCCTTTGTTCATTTATTATTCAACAAGTATAAACTGAGCACCAACTGTGTGCCAGCCAGGCACTGGGGCCAGAAAGAGAAATGGTTGCCTACAGTGAACTTACAGATTAACAGGGGACTGACCCCAGCCTGATCCCCAAGCCCCTGCTGATTCTGTCCTCCCATATGGCCAAAAGGGACCTTTTGGGATGAGCAGACAGCTTGAGCATGGGCTGTGGACCCCGAGGGAACTTATTCTGACTCTGGCTTTGCCATCTGTAGCTGTGTGACCTTGGGTCAGTTACTTATAGGTCTCTGAACCTCAGTTTCCTCTTCTGCAAAACATGAGCAAATAATGCTTGTCTCAGAGAGTCCTTGTGAGGATAAGGTGAGAGAATGCAATGTTCTAGTGTAGTCACTTCTGAAATTAGCCCAATTTATTACTTTTCTAGTGCTAAAATATGTGAATTTTTAAATAAAGATGGGAAGAAATTCTGGAAGGCTATAGAAGAAACTAACAACAGGGGTTACCTGATTGTGGGGTGGAGCAGTCAGGAACGGAGGGATACTTTTCACTGCATACCTTTTTATGTTTTTATATTTAGACCATGTGAACGTATTACCTGTTCTAAAAAGAGAAAGTGTCAGTGGCATCTTTTTATAAAATCAAAGCAAACTACTGTAAGTTTGAAAGTATAAAGGGCCCTGAGAAAGGCACATAGGAAATGCTATGGGGGTTCATTCGTGCATTTGGTCATGTCTGCCGAGGGCCCACGGTAGGCCAGGCACTGGGCTGGGGGCCGAGATCAGAGTGGTAAACAAGTCAAGCAAGGTCATTGCCCTCTTAGAGCTATGCTCTAGGTGAGGAGACAGATGATAAACAAGGAAATATAAAGACCATTTCAACACGGTGGCGTATGCTATGAAGAAAATAAAACAAGGAGATGGGATAGGAGAAGGGAAGGCCCCTCCAGAGAGGTGACATTCCAGCTGAGACCTGAGCAGCTAGAAGGAGCCAACATGGAATGCCACCTGGAAAAGATTATTCCAAGCACAGGAAACAGCAAGTACAAAGGCCCTGGGGCAGGAACATACTTGGCATGCTCAAGGAACAGAAAGACAGCCGATGTGGCAGAGCCTAGTGAGAGAGGAGAAGGGTGGTGGAGGGTGAGTTGGGGATGGAGTGGGCCTTGACTCCCATGGTGAGGCGTTCATGCTCAGTTTGATAAAGTGCCACATCAGCAGCCTTCAGCAGGAGTCCAGCAAAGGACCAGTTCATCAGGGACAGCTTCACAGAGGGGGTGGCATTTGAGTCGGGCCATGAAGCAGGTAGGGGATCTTTATGAGGAGAGCCAGTTCTAGGGTCTAGTGAGTAAAGATCAAATTCCAAAGGAAAAGATCCTGTGTAGGAGGGGCCCAGCTGTCTGTCCATCTGTCTGTCTGTCTGTGCACCCCTGTGGCACTGCATCCCATTGCTAACCAGGCCTCTGTACCTCTCTGCAGCGCTGGGCCGGAGCACTAGCCTCACCGAGAAGGACCTGAAGGAGGCCAAGGCGCGGAGCCAGCAGATCGCGGCCCAGCTGACCACCCCTCCCAGCTCCAATTCCCGCGGCGTCCAGCTCTTCAACAGGCGCCGGCAGAGGGTGAACGAGTTCACCTTGGAGAGCCACGGCCAGAGGGGACCGAAGCCCAGCCAGGAGTCCCTCAGAGTGCTCCCTGCAAGCCCCCCAGGCCATGCCCCAGGGCTCAGCCTGAGTCCCACCTCACCGCCTGAGCCAGGCGCTCCGAGGCACCCCAATCCCCAGAGCCCCGGCAGAGGGGTCCCTGGCCACAGCATGGAGGGCTACTCAGAGGAGGCCAGCTTGCTGCGGCACCTGGAGAGGGTGGCCAGCGAGGAGGAGGAGGTGCCACTGGTGGTTTATCTGAAGGAGAACGCAGCCCTGCTGACGGCCAATGGGCTCCACCTGTCCCAGAACCGGGAGGCCCAGCAGTCCCCGCCGACCCCACCTGCAGCCGAGGTCCACAGTCCAGCCGCAGATGTCAACCAAAACCTCTCCTCGCCCAGTGCCACCCTCACCACACCAGCTTCTAACAGCAGCCACAACCTGCCGGCCACCGACGTCAATCAGAACCCCCCGGCAACTGTCGCCCCGCAGAGCCTGCCTCTTGCTAGCGCCCAACAGAATTCCCCAGAGGCCCGCCTCCCGGCGAACGGCTCGGTGCCAGATGCCAAACCCAGCACGCTGTGTGCCGACGGGCAAGCCCAGGGGCCAGGAGCGGAGGTGAGATCCAGCAGCCTCCTCATCGACAAGGTGTCAGCTCCACCTCCCGCCACCAGCACCTTCTCCAGGGAAGCCACGCTTATTCCTGGCGCTGGGGCCCCAGCCCCGGATTTCATGTCCAGCTCCCTACTCATCGACGTCCAGCCCCACGGCCTCATGGTGTCAGCAGAACAGGAGCTGTCTGGGCGGACAACTGCCACCACGCCCACCAAGGTGTACAGTGAGGTCCACTTCACCCTGGCCAAGCCCCCCTCCGTGGTCAACAGGACGGCCAGGCCTTTCGGGGTCCAGGCGCCAGGGGGCACCAGCCAGATGGAGCGCAGCCCCATGATAGAGAGACGACATTTTGGGGAGAAGGCCTCGGCTCCTCAGCCCCCCAGCGTGGCAGACAGGAGCCCCCGGCCACAGAGACACATGATGTCCCACAGCCCCATGGTGGAAAGGAGGCTGGTGGGGCAGCGCAGCCCAGCCTCCGAGAGACGCCCTGTGGGGAGCTTCGCCCCGCCCCCCACCTACGCTGAGACTTTGTCCACAGCCCCTCCGGCTTCCCGGGTCCGGTCTCCCCCGTCTTATTCTGCCCTGTACCCCAGCTCTGACCCCAAGCCTTCTCATCTGAAGGGCCAGGCGGCCCCTGCCAGCAAGACGGGCATTCTGGAGGAGTCGATGGCCCGCCGGGGCAGCCGGAAAGCCATGTTCACCTTCGTGGAGAAGCCCAAGGTGACCCCCAACCCAGACCTGCTGGATCTGGTGCAGACGGCCGACGAGAAGCGGAGGCAGAGAGACCAGGGGGAGGTGGGCGTGGAGGAAGAGCCCTTCGCGCTGGGGGCTGAGGCCTCCAACTTCCAGCAGGAGCCAGCACCCCGGGACAGGGCCAGCCCCGCAGCAGCTGAGGAGGCCGTCCCGGAGTGGGCTTCGTGCCTGAAGTCGCCCCGAATCCAGGCCAAGCCAAAGCCCAAACCCAACCAGAACCTCTCCGAGGCCTCCGGGAAGGGGGCTGAGCTCTACGCCCGCCGCCAGTCGCGGATGGAGAAATACGTCATCGAGTCTTCAGGCCCCACGGAGCTGGCCCGCTGCCCTTCGCCCACCATGTCCCTGCCTTCATCCTGGAAATACTCCACGAACGCCCCCGGGGCCTTCCGAGTGGCCTCCCGAAGCCCAGCTCGGACCCCGCCTGCCTCCCTCTACCACGGGTACCTGCCCGAGAACGGGGTCCTGCGCCCGGAGCCCACCAAGCAGCAGCCGCCGTACCAGCTGCGGCCCTCGCTCTTTGTGCTCTCGCCCATCAAGGAGCCTGCCAAGGCCTCGCCCAGGGCCACCTCGCCCAGGGCCGCCTCGCCCAGGGCCGCCTCGCCTGCCAAGCCCAGCTCCCTGGACCTGGCGCCCAGCCTGCCCAAGGCGGGCCTCCCTCCCTCGCCTGCCCTGCCTCGGCCCTCCCGCTCCTCCCTGGGCCTCTGCACCTCGCCCGGCCAGGACGGCCTCCAGCCCACTGCCGTGAGCCCTCCCTACAGCGGCGACATCTCCCCCGTGTCTCCCTCCAGGGCGTGGCCTCCCCGAGCCAAGCAGGCACCCAGGCCCTCCTTCTCTACCCGGAACGCCGGGATCGAGGCTCAGGTGTGGAAGCCTTCCTTCTGCTTCAAGTAACGGACCCACAGGGGTCCCACTGCCAGTCAAGGCCCCCTCCCTGAGGGCTGGATGGAGAGCAGATGTGGCAGGAAATGGCACAGAGCTGAGTGAGGAGAACAGGGAGTCAGGCTCAAGGTCGGATGCTGCCACCAGCTGGCTTTGTGACCCTGGGCCAGTGCCTCTCCTCTGAGTGCGGCTGCCCCTTCTCTGCTCCCGGGGTTTGCACTCCATGTCTGAGCAGGGAGGAGGGCCATGGAGAGAGAGCCCCCTGGGCAGGCCCCGAGGAGGATGAGGGCTGCTTCTGGCCTTCTCGAGCTGTAGGGGTGCTGAGTCGGATGCCAGCGTCTTGCTGGGAGTGGCCTAGCAGGGGATCCCGCCAGGGACTTCGGGAGCAGAAAGAGCCTGCCAGTGCCTGTGGAATCAGCTGTCCCAGCGGGGCCCCCTCCTGAGGCCCAAGATCCTGGCATCTTTCTTCCTGCTGCTGGATTCTCACCTCCGCAGGCCTATCTCTTCCACCTCTGCCTTCTGGACGCCTCTCCGCTGCACCAGAGAGCTTAGCCTTGCCTCCGCCTCTGCTGCCCTCCTGGTCCTTCCGCGGGCTGCGGACTTAGCCCACCACTGCTGTCTGATGCTTCTCTTCCTCCCTCTCCAAGACCTGGCTCTGCTTTAGGGAGACTCCTAGGCCCAGACCTCAGTCCTGGTTCCACCTGGCTTGCCCTCACCGTCCTGGGCAGGGGACGTCCCAGGGGAACCCCCGAGAGGAGAGCCCCGCAGAAGGCTGTGCAGACGTGGTGTGCTGCTAAGAGGGTGGCCCTAGCTACGTGTCCACTGGTGGTTTGGGCTTCAACCTCAGGCAAGATCTGCTTGACTCAAAGAAGCCACCTCAGCATAGTGGAACAGGCCCCAGGGAGAGAAGCAGGGGAGGAGGGTTCTGGTCCCAACTCAGCCTCCCATTTGCTATGTGACCTTGGCCAAGTCACTCTCCTTTTAGGCCTCGGTTTTCTCATTTATATGATGAGGGTCCTTCTAGCTGTGACAGTCTGTGAGGACTGAGATAGGCTGGTGGTTTGAGAGAAAGGCCCTGTAAGTGACAAGACAGTCCCCTGGGAAGAGAGGGAAAGGAAATGGGCTATTGCCAAAGGACAAATGGGGTTAGATGTCTGTGAGGGTGACCTGGTGAGGGTGTGGCTGGGAGGAGATACTGCAGGAGGCCAAGGGATGAGCCCTTGGGCTGGGGTGCCCAGGATCACCTGAGACAGTGGGAGTGGGGCAAGGGCTGAGGCCAGACATAGCAGCTCAGGGGAAGGGATGGGTGGGACCTTCAGGTTTTGAGGAAAAGTCTGGGGCTCAGAGACCTGGGTTCTAACAGACTGACTGCATGCATGTCTTGGGGTCTCAGTTTCCCCATGCGTACAGTGAGGGTGTTGAGTCAGGTAGTCTGAGACCCCCACCACCTCTGACACCTTGGATGTGATGCAGCCCCCCTAGCCAGGCTTTGTGGGGGGTGGGAGAATAGAGACACAAGAGGCAGGATGCAGATGGAAGCCTCCCAAGGCTGGGGGCCGAGGACCACCCACTTCTCTTTCTTAGCCCTATTTCTGGGCTCCCCAGCGGGGCAAGGGGTGGTGGAGGCGGTGCCCATGCTGGGCTGAGCCTGCAGTTTTCGTGAGCTCTGGGCTCGTCTCCATGGGAACAGAGGGTGCCTTCTCAGTGAGCTCATTCCACACAGATCGAGGGGGTACGTGCAGGGGAGCTGTGAGTGAGCTCAGCCCCTTCGTGCCAGGCCCTTCCCAGAGCAGACAGAAGCCTCTGCCCCCTGCTCCCTTCGACCCCGAGGGCCAGCCACGGAAGAGCCCACCCTCCACTCTGCAGCTCCTGCAGCCAGGCTGAGCTCTTTACCCAACTCTCTTTTCTGTCCTGTTCTCAATACACTCTGCCTCAAACTGCCTTGCTTCTTTCTTTCTTCCGCGCTGCTGGCGGTCAGGGCTCCCTTCCTCGTCCCTGTTCTAGCTGGGGAAGTGGAGTGGGACTGCTCGGTGGCTGTGTGGGGAAGCGTGGCTGTGTCTGCGTGCTGCGTGTCTGCCTGCCGTGGGGACAGACGTGGGCTGGCTTGGAAGCGAGGGCTCCCTCTCTCCTCGCCAGGACAGTGCTCAGGGCACCAGGACCCTGTGCAAATCCCCTTCCTTTGTTTTCTCCTTCCCTCCGAGTTAGGCCAAAAATGCTATAGAGGATTTTGGAGAAAACACACTGCCGCTTCTGGTCCAGGCTTGCTTGGGTTCTTCAAAAGTGGAATTGAAATTCCTTTAGCTAGAGCATTCACTCTCTAGTTCCTTCAGGTCCCCTCCCACCCCATTATCTAAATTTGGCCATTTCCCACATTTGTCATTGTCACCGCCTGGCCCCTGAAAGCCCCCGGCGGAGAGGAAAGAACTGCCATTGAGAGTCAGGAGAACTGGTGCACCTGACTCCTGTGTGACCTTGAACAGCCTCTTCCCATCTCTGGGCCCCAGTTTCCCCTTCTGCACAGTGAAAAGCTTGCAGAAGGTGGTCTGGGAGCTCCAAGTGGTCTCCGACAGTCACTGTCTGACTCTGCCCTGCTTTGGGGCTGGTGCTGGGCGGAGGGGATGCTGCTTTCTGAATTTTCACCCACTGCATTTCCACGGAGTTCTGGCATATATATGGTGCGTTGAGCTCTCTGCCAGAAAGCAAACAGTTCTGAGCTCCTGCGGCCTTTTTGCACTGTGCACCCCTCTGCCCCCCGACACACGCACAGAGTCAGGGCCCAGACAGGGCAGTTCGCATGAGGTCAGGCTCTGGCCCCCCTCCAGATGACGAAGAGCTGCTAACAGTGTCCCCAACATTCCAACCTCTGCTTGAGCCACCCTGTTTCACAGTCTTGGCTGAATTCTGTTCCTCCTTCCACTTCTTGGCCCCAATATTCCCCCTGTGGCCACCAAAGGCAGAGAAAAACGTTTTAGAGTTTTTTAGTAGCTATCATGGCCCTCCTTGACCTAGCCTACTCTTCTGGCTGAAGAGCCCAGGTTCCGCTGTCTCACTGGTTGTTGACCGGCCTGGCTAATGAGCTCTCGGACACACCTCCCTGCTGAGGGTGGCACTGTCATCAGGTCCTGAGACATGCCTGAGCCCATCCCATTTGGCCCTGAGACTCTGGTCTCAGACTCTGGTCTCAGCCTCCATTCAATCTGGCCCAGAGGCCAGGACCTCCCTCTTGGCTCCTCTCCCTAAGTCTTGGGGTCTGCCTCCCGCAGCTGGCAGGATGCAAAGCTTCCTGGGACGTGTCACCTACAGAGCAGCTCCCAGTGTCTCTGGCTCATGCATACACAACTCTGACCATGGGAGTAAAAGAGGTGGGTCCCGCACTGAGCCTTAACTTTTCTGCTTGATGACTGGGAACCTGGATGTCCCCAGGAGGTCTCTAAGGGTCACTCCAGCATTACCGCCCCATGAAAAATGTCCTGCTTAGGCTGTCATACAACATTCCTCCCTAGGGTAAAGGACTCCAATTCTGAGTCTGGGTTTACCTAGAGACTGCTACATTCCGTTTAGAGAAAACATAATATTTGTCTGTTGTTTCCTTTTGATTGGGAGGGATTCAATTCTCAATTGGATGAGAGGATGACTGGCTTGGCTATGGCTGACCAGCGATTGGATGAAAGAATGGAGCTTGCGGATGGTTCTAGATTTTGATTGGGTAGGAGGTATGGCATGGACTGGCTAGCTTTAGACTCGGATGGATGACTACTGATGAATTTGGATTGGATTGGGAGGCCAAGTGGACTGGTTCTTGCTGGCATATGATTGGATGAACAGTTGGAAGGTTCAGGAGATACATGCTAGGCAGGGATTCTCAAGCACTCTACTTTCAAGCCAGTTCAAACTGCTTCCACATGTTGCAGCCTTTGGGCAGCAGATAGTCACGCGCACACACACACACACACACACACACACACACAGGTGTACACGCATGCGCGCACACACACATATCCTGGTGGGGCAGAACACATTGGATTGTTATTTATGCCTCTGAGCTTCATTTTCATCATTAGTAAAATGGGTGTGATAATGCCAGCTACCTCACCAGTCTGTTGTGAGGAACTAATGAGGTAAAGGATGAGAATGAATCCTGTAGACTGGAAAGTCCTTAAATAAGTAGGAAACGGGCATGGCAGTGCACGGCAGAGCAGCGCTTTATAGCCTCAAAGCTGTCCCGGCTCTTGGCCTCACCGGAGCCGCAGGCCCCTCCCCGTGCCGTGAAGTCCAGTGAGGGAGAGCGCTGTCTAGGGGGAACCCACCCAGCTTCCTGTTGTATTTGCATTTGTCAGGGGACCTTCCTCCCTGCTTGGCCATCCAGGGAAAAATGAGGTGACCATGGCAACAGGGCAGGGCGCTTGGGACTGAGAGGATATTTCACTAAATCCAACCTTAATAATAATAGTCAATATTTTAAATTTTTTGAATAGATAATACATCCATATGGTTCAAAAATCTAAACTTATATAAAAAGTAATACATTAAAAAGCCTATTCCCACCCCCTGGGGCTGCGTACCCTGTTCCAGTTCTCTCCATTTCCTTGGAGAGACAGTTAGTTAGTTGTTAGTTTCATGTGTATCCTCCAAGTATTTCTTTGCGGTAATGAACATCGATTGAGCACTGTCTTCCAAGGGATGTTCTGATATATGTAATGTTCTTTCCCATGAGTTATCTCATTTAACCCTCACAACAACCCCATGGGGTGAGTAGTTGTTATACCCCATTTTGCAGAGGAGGCAACTGAAGCCCAGAGGGGTGGAGCAGCTTGCCCAAGATCACTCAGTAAGTTAAGGAGTCTGTCTGCAAAGCGAAAGGCGAGCGTTCTTAACTACTAGTCATCTGCCTGCAGGTTGAAGGCAGTGGCGCACACCAGACAGCGAGGGCTTTCCAAGGCGCTCGGGGCTGAGAGTTTGGGCACCTGCGTCTTCCTGGAGGCCCTCGCTGACTTTGGTCGGTGGCTTCCCGCCTCTGCATTTTGGACAAATCATACTCGGCCCCTTTCAAGACGCGGGCAGAGCGGACCCCAGCACTAACGCCTGCCCCGCCCCCTCTGCTCTCTCCCCAGGACCGCCGGGAGAGCGGGCCCACCTCCCCGCCCTGGACGCCGGGCGCGTCCCGGCCGCCCAGCAGCCTCGACGGCTGGGTGAGCCCGGGGCCGTGGGAGCCGGGCCGCGCGAGCAGCATGAGCAGCCCCCCGCCGCTGCCGCCGCCGCCGCCCATGTCCCCGTCGTGGAGCGAGCGCTCCGTGTCCCCGCTGCGACCCGAGACCGAGGCGCGGCCCCCCAGCCGCCAGCTGCAGGCGCTCCTGGCGCGCAACATCATCAACGCGGCCCGGCGCAAGAGCGCCTCCCCGCGGCCGGCGGGCGCCGAGAGCCTGCGGCCCTTCTCCCCGCCGACCGCGCCGCCGCCGCCGCCGCCGCCGCCGCGCATGCGCTCGCCGCAGCCCGCGCGCCCGGGCCCGGCCTCGGCGCCGGGGGCAGCTTTCGCCCCGATCCCGCGGAGCCCGCTGCCCGCTGGGCCTTCGCCCTGCGCCGGTCCCCAGAGCCCGCTGCCCGTGCCGCCCAGGCCCTTCCTGTACCGCCGCTCGCCCACGGACTCCGACGTCTCCCTCGACTCCGAGGACTCCGGGGCCAAGTCGCCGGGCATCCTCGGCTATAACATCTGCCCCCGCGGCTGGAACGGCAGCCTGCGGCTCAAGCGTGGCAGCCTCCCCGCCGAGGCCTCCTGCACCACCTAAAGCCCCACCCCCACCCCAACCCCTGGAAGGCCGAGCCCGAAGAAGAAGAAGAAGGGTCATCAGGCTTGGGGAACCCAAGGGGTCTGGCCTCCTTGGACAGCCCCAGAGATAAGGGATCGGGGGAGGAGAGCACCGGGCTTGGGGGTGGGTGAGGGACGCAAGCTTGGGTGCTAGCCCTTGCTCTACCTTTCGGTTGATGTGTGACCTGGGGCAAGACTCTTCCTCAGCCTTCCCATCTGTTTAATGTGGCTTCTGCCAAGGCAATCTCCAAACGTCTGAATTCCACCCTCCTCCCCCATCGATACATGCACGCACACACACAAACGCGTGCCTTGGAAGAGCTAGGGTGCTGTGTATATGGGCCCCTAGACTTGTCACATCCACGGTTCCATACCCCTCCCTCCCCTCCTGGCTCTGCAAGTGAGATGTGTTCAGAACATCCTAGGCCTGTGTCCACGGCCAGGCCCTGGCTTGACCATCCGGCTCCCTGGCACCAAGTCCCAGGCAGGAGCAGCTGTTTTCCATCTCTTCCTAGAGAAGCTCTATTTTTACCACGGTGACCTTTAGTGAGGTCTCCCAGGCCAGCTCAAGGTGCCCCGCTGGCCCTCTGAAGAGAAGAGGCAGGAAGATGTTCCCCTGGCCTTTGTCATGCTATCTTCTCCAACCCAGCCCAGGCCAACCTCGGGATCTTATCTGCATCAGGGAAGACAGCTATAAGATAATGATTTCCCCCAGGCCCAGGACTTGGGCCTCCAGCCCCTCTGTCCCTTTTGGGCCCATTCATGGCAGGTTCTGGGCTCAAAGCTGAGCTGGAGAGAGAAGAAGAGAGATGCAGCTCTGATTGTCCTCACTTTGTGGCTGCCTATTTGACAGAGGGAAGCAAAGAGTTCCTTGTTATGGGAAGTATACAAGCTGTGGCCAGGATGCCTAGAGGAGGTTCTAGCAGGGATGGGGCAGGCTCAGAGGACCTCTGAGTCCTGAATTGCATTCCATCGTGTTAGGAAGTGGGGGGAGGTGGTGGAAGAAGATTGGCGGGACATGAATTCTGGGGCAGTTGGGCTTGGGTGGTTGGGTGAGGGGTTAGGCCAGGGTCTGCCTGTGTTTCTGGCCTCCTAGGACGTACCCTCTCTTCAGTTTCAGGTCCCAGCCCCGGTGTCCATATCATGCCCAGAAGAGTGCACACTGTCCCTCCCCATTTCTTTCCCACTGCACTCTGGCCTAGCTAGTGCCTGCTGCCCAGTGACCTTGGGGAGCCTGGCTGCAAGCCCTCGCCTGTCCCTTAAACTTTGGTGGCTCTGATTCCATTCCCCAGGAGGGACACAGAGAGGAATGTGTCTGAGTTCTGTAGTTTCCGAAGGTAGCTGGTAGTGCCTTCTAGAGGTTCAGAATATCAGCTTCAGGACACTCTAGGGAGCTGGAATTGGTCGAGGATCAAAGGTACGTAGGTGAAAGGATACCAGGATGTTCTAAAGGTGAGGGACAGAGTGTGACTTGGGGACTTACCCAACCATCAGGGTGATGTTCGATCTGGAACCCCCAGGTGAGGCTGGGGAAAGTTAGGGTCAGGATGAAAGGTAGTCAGGTCTGGGTGGGGTGTTTTGGAATAGTGGTGTGATCCCAGAAGGTTCCTAGGGTCTAAGGAATGGGGACATGGCTCATGTTGGTGGGAAGATGAGAGGGTGCTCCTGCTCAGTTAATGATGAGTGACCACATTTCCCGAAGCCCCCGCATACTGCAGGGTCCCTTATAGCACAGGAGATGGGGACTAAGGGCTCCCCAGCAGAGAAGAGCCCCATGAGGCCTCTCTGGCTGCTGCAGTGGCATAGAGGATCCGCTTCTACCTGCATGTCCCCAAGGGCCAGCAGGGGGCAGCCTTGCAAAGTTGCAGCTCCTAAACCAGTCTCAGCTGTTCTCTTATTGTCGCTGCCCTCTCCCACTCCTCTCCTTTGACCCACTAGAGCTTGCCTGTGTCCTGCGTCTTGCCTCCTGTAGAATTCAGCCCTGGCCCTCAATAAATGCTTCCTGCACTCTTGTGCCTCCTGTGTCATTTACAGCTGTGTCTGACACCCTTCCCTTCTACCCGTGGGGCTCTGGGTGGATGGGAATATTTGAGGCACATGGGTGGGAGCATGGGAAGGAGCAGCCACGAAAAGAGATGGGGAACAATGGAAAAACTTGCAGCCATACAGGAAGTCCCTGAGTTGAAGTCCTGTCATTGACTAGCTAGGTGATCCTGGGTAAGCCCACTCCTTCTCCAGGCCTCAGCTTCCCCATCTGTAGAATGGGGACAGTTGGGTGCTAGGCAATGTCTCAGGTTGGTACAGTCCAGGCCCTGACCCCAGGGCACTGTCCCCAATGTGGGCAGGGCCAGGCTGGATCCGGGCCCGGTGCTCTGGGGCTGCTCCCTCGTGGAGCGTCGGGCTCCAGGGCAGGAAGAGGAGCCGCCATGAGAGGCCACTTCTGAGTCTGGGCAGCCCCAGTGAGGTCAGGATTCTCACTGTCAGGAGTCCTCCTCTCTTGACAGGAGCATCCTTTGCCCAGAGAAGGGACTGTGGCCCAGCTGCTCGGTGAGGTTGAGCCTGCCCCGGGAACACACCTCCCTCTTCCTCTCTAGCAGCTCAGGGCAGTCCTCAGCAGAGTCCGGGCTTCTGTCCTGAGAAAGCGTCAGAAATACACCCTGGGCCAGTCCGTACCAACACCCAGTGTTCCCTGCCCTGGTCCCAGGGCATCCTTGCTAGGTCCACCCTTCCTGGGAGAGCTTTGTGTGTCCCTGACCCAATCTTCATCAGCAGCTGGAGCCACTCCTGAGCACAGTGTCCTACTGCCTCCTGGTGCTCTCATCCCAGTCCCCAGACACCTCAAGCCAAGCTCAGCCAAAACTGAACTCAGTGTCTGCCCCAACCCCTGCTTGCTCCTGCCTGTTACCTGCCTTAGTCACCCAAGGAAGAACCAGGACCTGCGGGCTCCCCAAATACCCCCCATTCCCTCTCGCCACCATCGTCCCCTTGTCACTGCCCCGGCCTTGGAACCCTGCCTCCCACCTGGTGACAGTGAAATCCTCCTGCCTCCAATCTGGCCCCCTCCAACCCATTTTCCACATGGCAGCAGAGAAAATGCCAATCTGACCACTCCATTTCACCACTTTGACCTCAGCAGCCCTTTATAGACACAGTTTCCTTTTGAAAAGCCTGCTGGGATCTGGCCCCTGCCCACCTGTCTGGGCTCATCCTGGCTCTACTTGCTACCCCCTACCATCCTTACACATGTCGTGTCCTCTGCCTGCCATGCCCGTGTCCCTTCTCTGCCTAGGGAAGTCCCACTCATCCTTCAAGGCCCAACTCGAATGTCTCCTCTTCTGGGAAGCCCTCGCGACCTGCAGGCTGGGCTGCTAACTCCCTCCCCTGCGCACTCCCAGAGCATTTCCCAAAGCTTGTTTACTGGGCAGAATCTGACCTGGCTGAGCTCCTTGAGGACAGAGCTCCAGCCTTATTTATTTTCAGTCCTTAGGGTGCGGCTCAGGGAATGTGAGAAGGTGGAGGGAGGGAAGGAGAAGGGGGGAAGGAAGGAAGGAAGCAGGAAGAAGAAAAACAGGCAGGAAAGAAGAAAAGGATAAGTCAAGCAAAGATACTGGGGGACAACTCATGCATGCATGCCTCCATCCATTCCACGAATGTCTATCGAGTTCCTACCAGGCACCGTGCTAGGCGCTAAGGATAAAACAGTGAACAAGCTGAAGCCACCGGCTGACCCCCAGCATTTCCAGGTGACTTTGGCGTGTGCACGTGTGAGTGCGTGTGTGCACTTGCAAGCCGTTCTGTCTGCAAGGGCCGACTGCCGGGGCACCTGTCCTCCCTAGGGCCTGGTGCTTTTAGCGTCTGGCCCCAGCTCCTATTGCAGCCTGAAATTAGGCTGTGACCCACGACAGGGCAGGAATGATTCTCGTCAGCTGAAGCCAGAGCTGGCTGCAGGGCACGCCCTGCTTGCTGACCGCCGACTGCTGACCGCCGACACGGGCACCACGCAGCTCGCAGCTTCCCGACAGGGGTGTGAATCTTGAGGGTCTGACATTCCCTCCCGCCCGCTGCGGTCCCATCCTCTCAGGTACCAGGATGGTAGGGGGGCGCGGGGAACCACCGTGGGGAGTGGGCAGAGGGGACGAGCCGACTCCCAGAGCACCTTTCCTCAGCAGAGGAAGGGCCCTGCAGAGGGTCGGGGGAGTCTGGGCCCTCGTGGAAGCCTGGGTCCCAGGTTGGGAGGAGAGGAACTCTAAGCTCTAGGTTTCCCCACGTTAAATGGGGAGTGGGTGGCTAGGATCAGAGGTGGGGTGAGGCAATGGCTCTGCTCAGGACTTCAGGAACTTTTAGGCAGTAGAGGAAAGCAAATTCCCAGCATCGAGGATTCCTGTAAGGGGAGTGTTTATCAAGAAACACATCTGCAGACTGTGGAAATCTAAGCGGCCACAGAGCATTCCCGATCACCTCGTGCCCCTCACTCCAAACGCGTGCAGACACACTCATGTTTGCATGCAGTTTTAGGGGGGTTGTAGATGCCTTGAAGCCCATCCAGAGATCCTCTTGATTTAGTCCAACCCCCTTGTATTATAGAGGGGGAAACTGAGGCACAGAGCTGGAGAGCTACATGTTCACAGTTACAGAGGAAGTCGGGGATACGTGATGGAATCCATGTGGCCCAACTCAGTGCCCACCGGGCCAGGGCCCCTTGTGGGTATGGGGGTGATAGATGGAGGCAGACCGTTTTCTAAAGGAAGGAGCCTGGGAAACCCGCAGCAAAAGGGAGGGGCTCCACGGAGGGGGGTTAGTCGGCCAGGCCTCAAGGGCTCTGCCTGTTCTCCTCGGGGCAAGTTAGGGAACCTGGATTTGGGGCCTGCAGGGGTTCTCTGGGCTCTGGACCACATTTTATCTGTAACTGTCTTCCAAGATTCCTGGAAAGTGCTATGAGATACAAACAGAGGGATGGAGGAGGAGGGAGAGAGGACTGAAGGAGAAGAGAGCACCATGGATGGCAGCCCAGGGATGGGGAGACAGGGAGGCCGGGTGGGGGTTCTCTCCACTTTGTTGGGCCAGCCTGTGCCCTCGAGCCTCAGGGCCAAGCGCCAAGGATGGTAGGGGAGCCCCCACCTCGCAGACCCCAGGGTAGCCACAGACTAACCCAAGCTCCCTTGCCCCAGCCTCTCTCCGCCTCTGAGTAGTGCTCTCCTGGGTCAGCAGATGACAGTGGAGCCTGAGACCCCGCCTCCCCCACCCCAGATGCCCCAGGCATCTACCCACCTCTGATCAGGATGCCAGGCCCGAGGAAAGTCCTAGAAACCAGCCCAGAAGACAATTTGCTTCCCTAGCAATGCAGAAATTGATCTGTATGACCTTGAGTGCCTTCTTGTCACTCCCCAGGCCCCAGCTTCCTCTGTACCAAAACTCCAGAGGCCCATGCAGTTCAGATATCCCTTGCTTGTGACGTTGGGGTGGGCCAAGGCTGTTCAGGGCTGGAGAGGTGGAACAGGGACATGGAGGAGGTCTGGGGAGGTAGAGGCAGCTTGGAACATCCTTGGGAATCTCTCCTCCTCAGGATGATCCCCAAGGAGCAGAAGGGGCCAGTGATGGCTGCCATGGGGGACCTTGCTGGACCAGGTAAGGTGGGCCCAGCCCGGTGCTTTTCTTAGACTCCATCCTTTCTCGGTCCCAGACTGGCGTCCACTCTGGCCTGCTGGCCCCAGGCCTGGGCAGACAGATGTGGGTTGCAGGCCGGCGTGAGGGAGAGCCTGTGGAATCTGCCGCCTGGGCCCGGAAGCTTCCCAAGGCATTGGGAAGGGCCTTGCCCTTGTGTCCACAGATCCCAGAGCTGAGGTTGAGTGCGCCAGCCTGGGCCCTGGCCCTGTCCCTGTCCTCAGCCAAGGCTTTACCTCAGCCCCAAATTGAGCTCTGAGGGCCCTGGTCCCAGGTTCCGCCCTACCTGTGGCCTAAACTCCTCACACGCTCATCCTCGCTTATTGGGACTTTGAGCCTCCCCAAAGCCTTGGGACAGCCCAGGTGGCCCAGCCCCAGGGAGGGGGTCAGGGTGGAAGAGCGGGCTGCCCAACTGGACTCAGACCATTTTACTTAAAAGCCAACTCATCTAATGAACAAATCATCCAAAATTCATGTTTATCAACTCCATAAAGTCTCTTGGTCTAATTTTAGAGTGTGTTCGTTTGGTTTACTTCAGAGCATTTCAAATAATTTAAAAATTAACGCAATTAAGTCAGGGCTCTCAAACTTTCGTGTGAGTCATAGTGACTTGGTGTAGATTAAAAATACAGATTCCTGGCATCTACCCCAGGGATCCTGACTCAGTGCACCTGGGGTAGAGCCTGTCCCTTCGCCTGTTAGACAAGTACTGAGGTGACTTGGGTGCGGTGGGCAGTGAGCGCCTCGGATAAACGCTGGGCCGAGAGCCCTTCTGCGGTGCGACTCCTTTAGGGCCCTAAGGAGTTGATCATGCTGTGTAACTTTCTATGTGAGTCCTTCTTTTAACCTATCTTGTGTGTTCTTGACTCTTTTTGCTGGTGTCAAGTTTCCTCCCCCCCCCCCATGATTTTGTGTGCTGAAATAAGCAAATTTTGTGAGTATTGATCTTCTAGCTGGAAGAGTCAGGAGATGTGTTTTCTTTTCTCTAGTCTAAGTCATTAATCAATTACAGACCCGCAAATATTGATGCGCATCGTGTATGCCAGACTTGAAGTATATAACTTGTTGGTTACTGCTAAGGTAAAGACCATTTTGAAATGAAAGAAAAGTAGGAAGAAAAGATAAATCTCACAGCATTACCACCTAGCAACAGCCATTGTAAAGTAATAATAATAAAAACGTTTACCATGATTGCATGTTTACTATGCGTCAGGAACTGCAGGAGCTTTTATGCCCTGCATCGGTTAACCCCCACAGCAGCTCTGTACGTGAGCTGCTAGCACCCCCATTTGGAAATGAGAAGACTGCAGCTCAAAGGGGAGGGGGGTCACATCTGGCAGGTAGCAGAGCTGCGACATGACTCCAGGTCTCTTCGCCTCCAGAGCTGTTTCTTTGCTATGTGGTTATACGGTAATACAATACAGTACTCATACATAAGTTTTTAAAAATATTCATTTGCCATTGACTTGGTGTAAATAAAAAAAAATAAAAGTCAGACAAAACAGACATGAATGACTTTGAAAGTGGAAGTTCCTCATGATAGAACCATCTGGAGAGAACCACTGTTAACATATTTGTGTAAATTCCTCTTCTGTTCTCATATATATATATTTATATAAACGTACGTACATGTGGGCTAAATACTATCTGCTGTGCTCTTCAGCTTGGTTTTTTTTTTTTTCATGCCCCATTTAGCAGCATACCATCCTAATATGACTTATGTCACCGGCTCCCTCCCTGCTGCTCCCTGAATGTCATATTTACTTAATGACCCCAAATGGTGGCCACGAGGCTCATCTTAGGTGGGATGCTTAGGGGTGGAGGAGTGCGTCTTGTGCGAGTGACTTATGAAGGGAGTGCTCTCAGGAGGAGGGAAGTAGGGGCCCCAGCTTAGGGCAGGGGAGGATCTCTGAGCAAGGCTGTGGGCTCAGCCCAGCCCAGGTTCAGTCTGACCCTGTGCGGGCTCTCGAGCTCGAGTTGCTCCACGGAATTCATCCCACCTGCGGCAGCCTCCCTTCCACCGGCAGCTCTCTGCAGAAGGTGGGCCTGGGAACCATTAGCTGCTAATAAAGGGCCTCTGGGCAGCATCCACCACAAAACTGATTTCTAGTTTTCACAATTTAAACCCCACTGCAATACACATCCTTGTACATATACCTTTGGACATATTTATTCAACTTTTTCCCCAAGAATAAATTCCTCAAAATAGAATTACTTAGTTAAATAGATGATGCCCAAATTTTTATCTCCAGCTCAGTTTTCTCTCATGACCGCCAGGTGCACCATCCAGCTCCCCGCAGCCACTCCGGCTGGATGTGTCCACAGATTCTCAAACTCAACATGCCCAATGTGGGAAACAATGGGGAGAATTCGAATAAGGACCGCACGCTAGATAAAACAAACATTTGTTCACTTGAAAGGTGATGATCTTTAAGCAGTATTAATAAAAAACAAGCTACAAAGCACATGTGCCATGATTTCATTTTGGTTAAAAACTCATATACGAATACATAGTCATTGAAAAAGATAAGAAAAAACATACACTGAGGCGTTAATAGTGGTGATCTCTGGGTGAGAAATAATTGTATTTCGCTCTTTTCTATCTGTATTTTCTGACTTTTCTCACTCCACCTATATGTTGTTTTTATAATAATAAAGACTATTTTAAGGTCGGGCGCGGTGGCTCACGCTTGTAATCATGCTTGTAAAGTCATTAATGTCTGTTTTGTCTGACTTTTATTATTTTTATTTATTTACGCCAAGTCAATGGCAAATGAACATTTTAAAAAACTTACGTATGAGTACTGTATTGTATTACCGTATGACCTTGAGTGCCTTCTTGTCACTCCCCAGGCCCCAGCTTCCTCTGTACCAAAACTCCAGAGGCCCATGCAGTTCAGATATCCCTTGCTTGTGACGTTGGGGTGGGCCAAGGCTGTTCAGGGCTGGAGAGGTGGAACAGGGACATGGAGGAGGTCTGGGGAGGTAGAGGCAGCTTGGAACATCCTTGGGAATCTCTCCTCCTCAGGATGATCCCCAAGGAGCAGAAGGGGCCAGTGATGGCTGCCATGGGGGACCTTGCTGGACCAGGTAAGGTGGGCCCAGCCCGGTGCTTTTCTTAGACTCCATCCTTTCTCGGTCCCAGACTGGCGTCCACTCTGGCCTGCTGGCCCCAGGCCTGGGCAGACAGATGTGGGTTGCAGGCCGGCGTGAGGGAGAGCCTGTGGAATCTGCCGCCTGGGCCCGGAAGCTTCCCAAGGCATTGGGAAGGGCCTTGCCCTTGTGTCCACAGATCCCAGAGCTGAGGTTGAGTGCGCCAGCCTGGGCCCTGGCCCTGTCCCTGTCCTCAGCCAAGGCTTTACCTCAGCCCCAAATTGAGCTCTGAGGGCCCTGGTCCCAGGTTCCGCCCTACCTGTGGCCTAAACTCCTCACTCGCTCATCCTCGCTTATTGGGACTTTGAGCCTCCCCAAAGCCTTGGGACAGCCCAGGTGGCCCAGCCCCAGGGAGGGGGTCAGGGTGGAAGAGCAGGCTGCCCAACTGGACTCAGACCATTTTACTTAAAAGTCAACTCATCTAATGAACAAACCATCTAAAATTCATGTTTATCAACTTCATAAAGTCTCTTGGTCTAATTTTAGAGTGTGTTCGTTTGGTTTACTTCAGAGCATTTCAAATAATTTAAAAATTAACTCAATTAAGTCAGGGCTCTCAAACTTTCGTGTGAGTCATAGTGACTTGGTGTAGATTAAAAATACAGATTCCTGGCATCTACCCCAGGGATCCTGACTCAGTGCACCTGGGGTAGAGCCTGTCCCTTCGACTGTTAGACAAGTACTGAGGTGACTTGGGTGCGGTGGGCAGTGAGCGCCTCGGATAAACGCTGGGCCGAGAGCCCTTCTGCGGTGCGACTCCTTTAGGGCCCTAAGGAGTTGATCATGCTGTGTAACTTTCTATGTGAGTCCTTCTTTTAACCTATCTTGTGTGTTCTTGACTCTTTTTGCTGGTGTCAAGTTTCTTCCCCCCCCCATGATTTTGTGTGCTGAAATAAGCAAATTTTGTGAGTATTGATCTTCTAGCTGGAAGAGTCAGGAGATGTGTTTTCTTTTCTCTAGTCTAAGTAACTAATCAATTACAGACCCGCAAATATTGATGCGCATCGTGTATGCCAGACTTGAAGTATATAACTTGTTGGTTACTGCTAAGGTACTGATTAAAGACCATTTTGAAATGAAAGAAAAGTAGGAAGAAAAGATAAATCTCACAGCATTACCACCTAGCAACAGCCATTGTAAAGTAATAATAATAAAAACGTTTACCATGATTGCATGTTTACTATGCGTCAGGAACTGCAGGAGCTTTTATGCCCTGCATCGGTTAACCCCCACAGCAGCTCTGTACGTGAGCTGCTAGCACCCCCATTTGGAAATGAGAAGACTGCAGCTCAAAGGGGAGGGGGGTCACATCTGGCAGGTAGCAGAGCTGCGACATGACTCCAGGTCTCTTCGCCTCCAGAGCTGTTTCTTTGCTATGTGGTTATACGGTAATACAATACAGTACTCATACATAAGTTTTTAAAAATATTCATTTGCCATTGACTTGGTGTAAATAAAAAAAAATAAAAGTCAGACAAAACAGACATGAATGACTTTGAAAGTGGAAGTTCCTCATGATAGAACCATCTGGAGAGAACCACTGTTAACATATTTGTGTAAATTCCTCTTCTGTTCTCATATATATATATTTATATAAACGTACGTACATGTGGGCTAAATACTATCTGCTGTGCTCTTCAGCTTGGTTTTTTTTTTTTTCATGCCCCATTTAGCAGCATACCATCCTAATATGACTTATGTCACCGGCTCCCTCCCTGCTGCTCCCTGAATGTCATATTTACTTAATGACCCCAAATGGTGGCCACGAGGCTCATCTTAGGTGGGATGCTTAGGGGTGGAGGAGTGCGTCTTGTGCGAGTGACTTATGAAGGGAGTGCTCTCAGGAGGAGGGAAGTAGGGGCCCCAGCTTAGGGCAGGGGAGGATCTCTGAGCAAGGCTGTGGGCTCAGCCCAGCCCAGGTTCAGTCTGACCCTGTGCGGGCTCTCGAGCTCGAGTTGCTCCACGGAATTCATCCCACCTGCGGCAGCCTCCCTTCCACCGGCAGCTCTCTGCAGAAGGTGGGCCTGGGAACCATTAGCTGCTAATAAAGGGCCTCTGGGCAGCATCCACCACAAAACTGATTTCTAGTTTTCACAATTTAAACCCCACTGCAATACACATCCTTGTACATATACCTTTGGACATATTTATTCAACTTTTTCCCCAAGAATAAATTCCTCAAAATAGAATTACTTAGTTAAATAGATGATGCCCAAATTTTTATCTCCAGCTCAGTTTTCTCTCATGACCGCCAGGTGCACCATCCAGCTCCCCGCAGCCACTCCGGCTGGATGTGTCCACAGATTCTCAAACTCAACATGCCCAATGTGGGAAACAATGGGGAGAATTCGAATAAGGACCGCACGTTAGATAAAACAAACATTTATTCACTTGAAAAGGGAAGAACCTTAAACAAGAATAAAAAAAAACAAGCTACAAAGCACATGTGCCATGATTTCATTTTGGTTAAAAACTCATATACGAATACATAGTCATTGAAAAAGATAAGAAAAAACATACACTGAGGCGTTAATAGTGGTGATCTCTGGGTGAGAAATAATTGTATTTCGCTCTTTTCTATCTGTATTTTCTGACTTTTCTCACTCCACCTATATGTTGTTTTTATAATAATAAAGACTATTTTAAGGTCGGGCGCGGTGGCTCACGCTTGTAATCACGCTTGTAAAGTCATTAATGTCTGTTTTGTCTGACTTTTATTATTTTTATTTATTTACGCCAAGTCAATGGCAAATGAACATTTTAAAAAACTTACGTATGAGTACTGTATTGTATTACCATATAACCACATAGCAAAGAAACAGCTCTGGAGGCAAAGAGACCTGGAGTCATGTCGCAGCTCTGCTACCTGCCAACGGCCCAGAGGGAGCCGTTGGTGAGCCTAAAGCCCACCAGTGAGCCAGGCAGAGGACGGTGGTGTTCCCAGCAGACTGAGCCCCTGCGTTGCTGCGTGAAGGGACTCTGGCGCCCACAGAACACGTTAAAGACTAGTCACGTGCCCTGGGCCAAATCTGGGCTTAGCACTCTGGGAGGCCGAGGCGGGCGGATTGCTCAAGGTCAGGAGTTCAAAACCAGCCTGAGCGAGACCCCGTCTCTACTATAAAAAAAAAAAACAGAAAGAAATTAATTGCCAACTAATATATAATATAGTATATAAATAAGCTGGGCAGGTGGCACGTGCCTGAGTCCCAGCAACTCGGAGCCTGAGGCAGCAGGATTGCTTGAGCCCAGGAGTTTAGGTTGCTGTGAGCTAGGCGTGACGCCACGGCACTCCACTCTAGCGCCTAGGCAAGAAAGCGAGACCTGCGTCCAAAAAAAAAAGACTATTTTAAAACTAAAACAACAGGCCGGGAGTGGTGGCTCATGCCTGTAATCCTAGCACTCTGGGAGGCCGAGGCAGGCGGATTGCTCGAGGTCAGGGCTTCGAAACCAGCCTGAGCGAGACCCCCTCTCTACTAAAAATAGAAAGAAATTAATTGACCAACTAAAAATATATATACAAAAAATCAGCCGGGCATGGTGGCGCATGCCTGTAGTCCCAGCTACTCGGGAGGCTGAGGCAGGAGGATTGCTTAAGCCCAGGAGATTGAGGTTGCTGTGAGCTAGGCTGACGCCACGGCACTCACTCTAGCCTAGGCAACAAAGTGAGACTCTGTCTCAAAAAAAAAAAAAAAAAAAAAAGCTAAGACAGGAGATCTAAAACTGAACTCCCGACCTTTCCCCAAACTTTCTCTTCTCTCAGGCTTCGTCTTAGTGGGTGGCTGCTCTGCCCTTCCAGTGGCTCAGGCCAGACACCTTGCAGTCACCCTCTACTCCTCTGTCTCTCTCGTGCCCCATTCTCATGGCTTGGCTTGTAAAGATATCTGGAATCTGATCATTCCTCACTGCCTCCACCACTAGGGGCAAAGAGCTACACAGGGAATTCATGGCATAAATGCAAATCGCCAAAGAACTTCTGAGTACCAAACACATGCAAATTCCACTCTGAGGTGTCAGTTTTGCTCATCAGACGGGCAAAGACTCCGAAAAACGGTGACACCCAGCGTGGGCAAGTGTGGGGAGAAAGTGCATAAGGCATTCTCACACACAACGTGGGACCCTGTGACCGGGCGCCTCGGGGTTTGGGTGGTGAGAGCCGGCTCTGGCCTCTCCCGGCAGTGCCTTCCCTGGACCTGGGCAAGAAGCTGAGCGTGCCCCAGGACCTGATGATGGAGGAGCTGTCGCTGCGCAACAACCGGGGCTCCCTCCTCTTCCAGAAGAGGCAGCGCCGCGTGCAGAAGTTCACCTTTGAGTTGGCGGAAAGTCAGCGGGCGGTGAGTGAGCCTCTGTTGTGCTCTTGGGGAAACTGAGGCCCAGAGGGATCCATTGGTGAGCCTAAAGCCCACCAGTGAGCCAGGCTGAGGACGGTGGTGTTCCCCCCGGCAGACTGAGCCCCTGCGTTGCTGCGTGAAGGGACTCTGGCGCCCACAGAACACGCTAAAGACTTGTCACGTGCCCTGGGCCAAATCTGCAGCGGGCAGGACCTAGCTCAGACTGGAGCTGTTTCTAAGACGGAAAATGCAGAATGCCTTTTTTTTCTTCCTCCCACTGGGGGAAGGAAAAGCTGGGGAACAATCTTTTGGTAGAGAAAGAAGCAAGAATGGTTTGCCCCAGGCTTCAGAAAGACAGCGAGCGGGCAGCTTCAGATACTTCCAATGAAGTCGGGGGTATTCCGTCCACACCCCGCTTACTTTCTGGGCTAGACAGGAGGCAACTGCCAGAGTCATGTGGCAGAAGAATAAAGATGGCAAAACACCCACCTTTGCTATGTGCCTAGGACACTGCTAGCTAACCACTGTACACCTGTCCTATCATTCGACACTCATAGAACCCTGCAAGGTAGATATCATCATCATCATCATCATATAGAGAAAGAAACTGAGGCTCAGGGAAGTTAAGTATGTTGCCCAGACTCAGTATTATTATACAGAAGCAATTAACATAGAGAGTATTTCTCTGTCCAGTGTCCACACACTGGACGTAACGCTGCAAACTATTAACTCATCCTTCCAACACCCCTTGGAGGTGGGCGCTAGGATTTTGTCTTTCTCCCTTTTTTGGTGGAGGGAGAGCCCTGTCCCCGGCCCCCTGATCCTCCCCGCGGTTTTTGCCCCCTCCCCGCCAGATGCTGGCCGGAAGCGCCAAGGGGAAGGTGACCCGGGCGGCGGCGCTGGAGCCTGGGACGGTGAGCGCGCGGGCAGACCCCACCCGAGGGGGAGCGCGGGAGAAGGGCGGGCGGCTCAGGGCGGCCACCCGCGGCCTCTGAGCGCCCGCCCCTATGCCCAGGTTGCCAACGGCCCCGAGGGGCAGAGCTACCGCTCGGAGCTCCACGTCTTGCCCGCCGCGTCCGGGGGTCCCGAGGGCGCCCACTTTGCAGCTGCCCCGGCGGAGTGCGCCCGCAGCCCCAGCGCGCTGGCGCCAGGTGAGTGGCCTCTTGGGGCTGGGGCAGGGCTGGGGAACTGGGAGCGTGGGTGCGCTCGAACGCCGGGCAGGAAGAGCTCTCAGAGCAGCTAGTGCACCACCTCTTTCCCAACACGCGCGCGCGCGCACACACCACACACACACACACACACACACGCCTCACAGACCAACACTCCAGCGCAGAGAAGCGCAGCGACGCGCCCAAGGTCGCGCAGCAAGTCAGAGTCCGAGCCGAGACTAGAACCTGCGCCCCAAACTCGCGGTTCCCTTGCTCCAGTCCTCCTTGTTTCCTGGGATGGGGAAGGGTCCCCTTTGCTGGACGACTTGGGCGTCCCCTCCCCTACTCCTCTTTCCTAACTCCGAAGTTCCCTCCCCCAACCAGGTCCGCGGGGTGGGGGTGGGGCGGGAGATGGGGCCGAGGGGGACACTGCAGAGGCGCCCGGGTCCGCGAGCCCCAAAGCCCGCTGCTCCCCCCCAGGCTACGCTGAGCGATGAAAGCGGTCCCGCTTCAACCAGCCGCATCGCCCAAGGGGGCTACCGCTGCCCGTGGCAGGAGTTCATCAGCTACCGGGACTACCAGAGCAATGGCCCAAGTCACACCGAGCCCCGCGGACTACCGAAATTTCAACAAGTAAGGCAGGGCGGGGCAGCTGGGACAGAGAGAGAGAGAGAGAGAAGCCCCAGCAGTAGCCGCATTCCTGCTCTGTCCTGAGCGCTTCCTATGCATTTATTGAGCTCTTGCTATAACAGTGCCTCAGCACCCAGTAGGTGCTCAATAAATGTAGGAGGATCGAGAGCCGAATGTGCCGCACGTCTTGTTGGGTCCTGGCCACAATAGCATGGGGCAGGCGCTAGCTACAGTTTTTCCTCTTCTGCAGATGGAGAGACCGAGTCTCAGGAATATGGACACCTGCCCAAAGTCACAGGACAGGAACCAGCAGTAGGGTTGGAGTCCAGTCTGGCTTTGTCTGACTCCAGAGCCCAGTGTCCTGTTCTCCGTAACTGCTGTGTGCCATCTCTTTGATGGACATCTAGGTTTGCGCCACATCTTGCCAGTTCTAAGCCAGCCCGGCCTTTCCTTGCTTTCACCAACGGTCTAGAAGGTGGCTTGGAGGCTGCCCCAAAGCAAGGAGTGGCAGTGAGACACTGAACACCAGAAGCGAGGGCCACAGAGAAGAGGCGTAAGCCGGTTTAGCACATGAGGCCTCGACCTGGGCTTAAATGCAGACTCCAGGCCTAGCTGTGTGACCTTGGGCAAGTGACTTAACCTCTCTGAGCCTTCATTGCTCCACCCGTAAAATGAGGCTTTTAATCTTATACCTACTTTATAAGATTGCTGTAGGGATGACACGAGAAGCCATAGGCCATTTCCGGGAAGTATAGGCTGTCAATAAACAGTAGCTATTGTTATTATTTACAGGCTGAAATGATGATTAGAAAAGCTAACAGAGGAGAACGTGAAAGGGATACATTTAACGCTCTGCACTGGGGGCCCCCAGACAAAGCCTGGGAGTGAAGACGGGAGCTTGGCGCTGGGGAAGGCCTTGGGCTGGGGGAGACATATTAACTGCAGTTGGCTTCCTCGGCCCGACGCTGTTTCTGAACGTGCTCCCCTGGCTGGGCTGCTTTAGTGAGGGAAAGGGGAGGCCACAGAGAGGAGGCCTCGGTCCGCTCTTCTGGCACCTGCTCAGACCACACGGGGAGACCGGGCCTGTCTGAGGAGACAGGCGGGTGGGCGCAGGGCCCGGCGAGGCACTGGGGACAACTGGCCTCGAGGAAAGGTGGCTCAAGAGACACGTAAGTGTCTTCGAACAGCGGAGTGCCAGGCAGGGCCCAGCAGGCACCGGGGGGAGGCACGAGCTGCTGGCAGCCAGGCCCGCCCGGTCTCCTCGCACCCGCAGACCCTGCCCGCCCAGCTATTCTAAACCCTCAGCAGACACTCCGTCCTGGCAGGCAGCTCCCGCTGGCTGAGTCGGGTTGCATCTCCCGCCCTCACACCTCCGATGTGACAGGCTCAGGCACACTCCCGCCTGCAGGAGGAGGGCCTGCGGGAGCCCTGAGCTCTTCTGGGGCAGAAAGAGCAACTGAGGCATAGAGAAGAGAAACAGCAGTTCGGGAGCCAAGCTGTGCTCGGAATGCAGGGCTCTGGGATCCCCGTCAAGGCCTGACTGTGGGGCCTGCTTGGCTGGGACACTGCCCAGCCTGTTCCCGCGAGGCCTGGCTGTCGCCGCGGCAGCTGGGGTGGTCCAGGCAGAAATGGTTTCCTGGCCGGAGCCCAGGCCCTGGCTCGAGGTTTGCCTTTCCACCCCAGAGGCGAGTCCTCGCTTCTTCCCACTGGCCCCAGGCTGCAGGAAAAAACCCAACGCAAGCAGTGCTTTTATTTTTGTTACAATTAAGAAATAGTATTAAAACCACACACATAGATTCTTTAAAAAAAAAAAATCAGGCAAATACAAATGAAAGTAGGGCCTTTTTGTTTCCCATCCTCCAATCCCGATTGCCTTCCGAAAGGTGGCACTGTCGTCGAGTTGGCCTGTATGCTCTTGGAACATTTTGTACTGGCAGCTGCATGCCTATAGGCTGCGGTCCCCCATCCCCGGGGCCACAGCCCAGGACTCATCCGTGGCTGGTTAGGAAACCAGCGGTGTATCAGCACCTGAGCTCCCCACCACCTCCCCTCCCCACGACACCCCACCCCTCCACCCCCAGTCCGTGGAAAAATTGTCTTCCATGAAACCGGTCCCTGGTGCCAAAAAGGTTGGGCACTGCTGCCTATACGTGGCAGGGGATTATTGTGTGTGTGTTTGTTTTTTTCTTGGAGACAGGATCTTACTCTATTCCTGGGCTAGAGTGCAGTGGTGTCATCATAGCTCACTGCAACCTCAAAGTCCTGGTTCTAGTGATCCTCCTGCCTCAGCCTCCCGAGTAGCTGGGGCTGCAGGAGTGCACCACCATGCCTGGCTAATTTTTCTAGCTTTTTGTAGAGACAGGGGTCTCGCTCTTGCTCAGGCTGGTCACGAACTCCTGGCCTCAAGCAATCCTCCCACCTCGGCTTCCCAGAGTGCCAGGATTACAGGCATGAGCCACCGCGCCCAGCCAATGTGTGTGTTTTAATACTTTGCATTTCATTCTGTAACTTGCTTTTTTCACTCCACATTATGCTTTGGAAACCTACCATACGAATACATGGAGATCTGCTTCTGTTTAAGCTGCTGTGTAGCATTGTGTCGTGCGACTGTGCTATATCTGTCTTGCCCGTTCCTCTGCCAGTGGACTGTGGGCCGTTTCTGGCTTGTCACTAGTGAGCTGCTCACGTTTGCTTCCTTGTGCACAGGTGAGTGTGCTTCCGTGAGCCACGTGCTGGGTGACAGAGTTCACACATCTCCAGGTTAAAAGGTCCTGCTGAGTTGTCCTCCAAGGTCGCAGCAGTACTTTACAGTTGACCCTCTAAACAGCGGCACAGGAGTGAAACTTCGCCCCCAGCCCCCCACCAACTTTGCCCCATTGTCAAATTGTTTCACTGTGCCAGTCCCATGGGGGGGATGTCTGTTGTTCTAAGGGCAGGTGAGAAGAGGAAGGAAAAACCCTACATCCAAATCTGCTCCCTTCCGGAGCTTCCTTGGCGAAGGCCAGAGTTTTGCCTAGGACGAGCCAGTTCTAACTCCGAAAGCGTGAACGAGCCATCCCCACTAGGGGCAGACTTGGGAATGGGGAGAGCTGGAGAAACCTGGTCAAGATGGTGCAGAATCTTGCTGTAGAGAAGGGGAAACTGAGGCCCGGAGAGAGGCAGGGAGGGGCCCACACACGGTGGCCTGCGTGTCAGTGTTCTGCCACCCCTCTCCCGCACAGCCTCCCTCTCCTGCTGCTCTCTTTCCCCAGGACCCCGGTGCCGTTCGGAGGACCGTTCGTGGGGGACACCATTCCCAGGGCAGGCACCCCCTTCATCCCGGAGCTCCTCAGTGGCTTGGAACTCCTCCGCCTCAGACCCAGCTTCAACAGAGTGGCCCAGGGCTGGGTGCGCAACCTCCCGGAGTCTGAGGAGCTGTAGCCCCAGCCTGAGTCTTCAGTTCTCCAGCCTCAGGGTTCTGGTACCATCTGGAGCCAACTTGTGGACAGTACTTCACAGTCTAGGAAGGGCCTTGGCTCTCAAAGCCTTGTTGCAAATGGCCTCAAAGGCCGCAAAGTTGAGTAGTCCCCCAAAGTGAGTGTGCTTCGAAATTACTTGGGAATGTTGTTCCTAATGCAGATTCTGACCTGCCCCAGCCTTGCACTCCCTATTAATGACAGTACCCCAGGTGATTCCCGTGTCACTTGTCCGTGGTTTGTATCTTTAGGAATTCCGCAGCTTATACTCCCCCAGCGACAGGGTGCTCACTGGCAGCCCATCTTTATGTGAATAACTCTGATGGTTAGAAAGATATTCTAGTATTAGACCTCTAACATGCAGTTGGTCTTCACCATGCTCTAAACATTTCGCAAGCACTGATTGAGTGCTAGACACTGTGCCAGGCGCAGGCCGCAAGGAGGAAAAGATAGTAGGGAAGACAGATTTGTAAGGCAGGAAGTCATCTTATTTTAATTTGACAACTGAGGAGCAAAGTGCCACGGGGCAGAGGAAGGGGTGGGGTTCCAGCAACTTCCCAGAGGATCTGAGCAGGACCTTGGAGGAGGAGTGAGTCCGTAGGAGAAGAGGGCGCGGCGGGGAGAGCGTTCCTGGAGAGTGGCCCGGCGCGTGCAAAGGTGTGGACGTGAGCACGGGCGTGGGTGTCCTGGAGACCGGAGGAGGCTGCGTTAGAGGAGTCGGTGAGGGCCAGGGTGAGTGGGCTTTGCTAAGGAGATGGGGACGGTTTTAGCGATGAGTCTTGCTGGCTGCTGTGTGGGGCGCAGACTGGAGAAGAGTAATGCCAGAGGCCGGAACGTCTGCAAGGGACAAGGCCATGGGGCTGGACAGAGGGGCCACCCACCGGGCACTTACAGGACAGGTGCAAAGTGGCGCACTGATTAAGACTTCTTTCCACCCTCCATTCTGGGCAGGCCCCTTAGTTCCGGTGATGGTGGTGGTGATGATGGTGGTGGTGGTGGTAACAGCTGCTTTCTATTTGGTGCCTCAGTGCCTGGGCTGGTAGTATAGGTTCTCTACGTATCTTATTTCTAATTCTCAGTGCAACCTTGAGAGAAAGCTATTTTACAGATGTGGATATCCAGGCTCAAAAGGGAGAAGTGACCTGTGCAGGGCTAGGGTCAAAATGGGACTGTGTCTGACTCCAGTGGCTGGCTCTGCACTGCGCTGGGTGGGGGCCCACGCCCACTCACGGGGTTTAGAAGTCAGGAGCGCGGGCAGGCTGGGGCCAGACTGGATGGGATGGGTGTGACTGTGCTGCTGCCACCATGTGGGCTGGAGCCAGTCATTGCACTTCTCTGGGCCACCATTTCTCCATCTGTGAGAGGAAGACAAGTCTGGAGTCTCCTTTATAGGGTTGTTGGGAGCACAGTGCAGGACTCATTCATGCTAAGAGCTCGGTCGATGTTGGGATTCATGCAGCTGCTGCTCTGGGCTGGAAAAGATGTTCTTGCCGTGGGTGCAGCTTGAGAAGCAGGCTGCTGGGTGTCACTGGGGGCCGGGACAGCTGAAGCCTGCAGGAAAGCCTTTGGCCGCTGCGGGGCTCCCTGTGGGCATGAATCACCGCCTGCCCCCGTTGCCTCCCTCTGTCTCCTCCCTGATTTTCTCTCCGGGAGACAGGGAGGCGAGGAAGTTCCCGGGGTGGGTGGAATAGCGGTTGCCTTTTCCTTTTGCTCTGGACTTTCACGCCCCTTCTGGGTCCCAAGAGACCAGCAGCCTGACTCTTAGAATTGCTGCCATCCGTGTGTTCTCCTGAATTTGGGGGCTGCCTTTAAAGCCCCCATGGGCTTTCCATGAGCTGGAGACCAACACTAACGTGTCTGAGGAGTGCAGAGAGGACTTGGTCTGCCGTGGGTTGTCTGCCGTGCTCTGGGAGGTCACCGCCGCTGCCAGGTGCGGAAGGGAGCCTGGTGGGGACACTGCTGCACCCCAGGCGGATCCTTCTTTCTTTCTTCTTCTGATATGACTTTTGCTGATGTTGTGAAAAAGAAAAAAAAATGCTTATTGTAAAAATAACAAACAAGAAATAAAATGCGAAGTTACCTGCCCATGTAATCCCTCCTGTGTGCATACACACACCTCCCACCCTCCTGCATTCTGTCCCATTCCCACATTCCAGAGGGAACCACTGGTGACAGTTGTTCCTTCTAGAATGCTAGAATTATTTGGATAAATATGTACGTGTGTATAGATGCATAGGTACACAGGCAATTCTTTGTCTTAAGGGAATTATACCATATGTATTGTTTTGTATTTTGCTGCTTTATTCAACAACAAATTTGCATGCTGAAAAAGCAAGTCATTAACCTTTTGTTTGGTTTAGGGGCCTACCAAGTCCTTCCTATAAAACTCTATATTTTTGCCTGTTTTTGTTTCTTCTATAAATTAAATCATACAGTGATACGGAAATTAAAAAGACTAAAAATAGTGAAAATATTGAGAAACCTGACATTAAACATAGCAATGATGAACATAAATGAACTACATTTCATGCAACAGCGTAGATGCATCTCAGAAACATAATGGTAAGCAAAGGAAGGCAGATAAACATGTTTCCTGATGTGAGGAAAGACTTCATATAAAAGTCAGAGTAGCGATAACTTGGGAGGTGAGAAGGGTTTGTGAATGTGAAGGGCACATAAAATGCTCCTAGGGTAACTGGAAAAACTCGATTTCTAGGTCTGGGAATGGCAAAAGTTACTTTTCACCAAATGTACCCCAGCTGTGTACCCTAGAGGATAAGGGAATGGAATTTGGTAAGCACATAAGAGTTTTTGGCAAAACCTAATTGCTCATCATGCTGATCTAACAAAGATGAATTACTTAAAAAAAAAAAAAAAGACGAATTGAGCACGTATTCTATACTTCAATTTTTTATGGTTTGTGTTTTTAAAAAATCCATTAACCAAAGCACAGATATTACGATCTCTTCTCCAAAAAAGAATGCAGATAGGCCGGGTGTGGTGGCTCACACCTGTAATCCTAGCACTCTGGGAGGCCGAGGCGGGTGGATTGCTCGAGGTCAGGAGTTCGAAACCAGCCTGAGCAAGAGCGAGACCTTGTCTCTACCATAAATAGAAATTAATTGGCCAACTAATATATATAGAAAAAATTAGCCAAGCATGGTGGCTCATGCCTATAGTCCCAGCTAAATGAGCTCAGGAGTTTGAGGTTGCTGTGAACTAAGCTGACACCATGGCACTCACTCTAGCCTGGGCAACAAAGCAAGACTCTGTCTCAAAAAAAAAAAAAAAAAGAATGCACAGATAGTCATATATTTATGTATGTCTGCACATGTAGAGATATAAGTCACTGAATCTGGCAGTTATTAAAATGCTACATGTAAGATTCACATCTCATTCACAAATAGGCTGAAAATCCTTTACATGCTCAAAAGTAGGCAAACACCCAAAAGGGTGCAAAAATACTTGGAAGTACCCTACATTGCTTCATATTTGGTATTATAGCAATAAAATGAAATTTCCAAGTGTTTCTAAATTAATTTTTAAATCTTTTTTAAAAGGCAGATGAAACTGTCTAGAGAAAAACAAATTCTGCAAAGAAGCTAAAACAGGGTGTCATATGGGCATATCTAGCTCAGAAATACACATTTCAGATAAGTGACTTGAATTCAGCTTCAGGAAAAATGGATTTATGATAAATTTGCCAGTTTCCTTTTAAAATGACTTGTATAAGGATGACTTTAAAATTCTATGCATTTTTGTTTTAGAGTTGGGGTCTTGCCAAATTGCCCAGGTTTGAGTGCAAAAGCTATTCACAGGTGCACATCATACAGCATATTTCCAGCCCAGAATACCTTGCCTTAAGCACTCCTCCTGCCTTCGCCTCCCAAGTAGCTGGGATTATAGACAGACACATGCAGGGCACTCACTTGGATTTTTTTTTTTTTTTTTTTGAGACAGTCTCACTCTGTTGCCCAGGTGGGCTAGAGTGCCATGGTGTCAGCCTAACTCACAACAACCTCAGACTCTTGGCTGGGCTCAAGTGATCCTTCTGCCTCAGCCTCTCTGAGTAGCTGGGACTACAAGCATACGCAACCATGCCTGGCTAATTTTTTCTATTTTTGGTAGAGACAGGGTCTCACTCTTGCGCAGGCTGGTCTCTAACTCTTGAGCTCAACTGATCCACCCGCCTCTGCCTCCCAGAGTGCTAAGATTACAGGTGTGAGCCACTGCGCCCGGCCAACTTGGATCTTTTTTTAACATTCCCATTTATGAACCACCACATGCCAGACTCTGTGCTAAGTGCTTTCTGCGCATTATCTTATTTCAACCTCACAATCAACCTTTGAAATATGTACTAAGGCAGTCCTGGGCCTTTTTCACCATCAAGGAATGGATGGATACGGAGGTAAAAACTAAAACAGTCTGAAGCAAGATTTTTAAAATTCCCATTAGTATATACCTCATTTCTAACTTCACTGACCTCAAAGTTCAGCTACCAAAGGATTAAGAAAACAGAAATCTAGAAATAAGCCCACGACATTTGGAAAATTGACCCGTTTTAATTATTTAAAAACAAAAAAACACAACATCAAATTTCCTTTGCCATCTACAATGCAGTTATATCCAAACATTCTAAGACACCCCAAACAGAAGCAGGGAATTACAATGAGACGCTGAAGACACATGAAGGTGAATGCTGAAGATCAGAGTTGCAGCCACAGGTCACAAGTCTTCCATTCAAACACACTCCAATACTTTTCATCTCAGTTTGTTAAAGTGTTTTACAGGAAGTTCTCTGAAATAATTTCATCCCAGACACCAGGTTTCTTCAATGATACACAGCTCCATGAAATTTGTGTTTCCAGCTGATTGACAGGAATAAAAAGTAATTTTTATTTTTGTCTCTTGTTTTGCTGGCATGCAGAAGTAAACCCATCGGTCAGATTCCTTTTAATAAATGAGGAAAAGGAGAGGAAAGAAAAGATCTGGGCTGTGCTGGTGCTGGTTTCTACTTGTCTTTCTGAGGGTGTGACTTTAAGAGTTAAATCACACTTAGGTCACTACAATGATTAGTACTAGTAATCTTTCTTTTTTTAGATGATAAAAACGAAAATACCCAATGGACATACAAATGGTCAAAATGTTTTTTACTGCAGGTCAATTTTTCCCTCCCCCAAAAAGGTACAAAATGAACATATAATTGGGATGGCAACTCCAGTGGACATTCAATTCACTCATCTGCTCGTCCCCCATACGGGTAAGGGGAACAGGCATTAGGTTTTATTAGTCATGTTTTAGTAGTAATCAGATGTGTTAATGGCAGCTTATTTGAGGTCCGTCGATCCTTTGAATATGTGTAGGAAAGCATGGCTGTCGGTCTCTGCTCACATCTGAACACATTCAGCTACCATGGAAACTACAGGGGAGGAAAACTATATTTATTCCAAGATGCACTGGGATTTTTTTAAGTGCCCTTTCTTCCACAGAGCCCCAGAGTGGTGATGATGTGCTAGGGGCTGCTGTGTTTTCCGGCGTGAGCTCCCATCCTCTGAGGGTCCTGAGAAGGGTAGTGGATTGGTCCTGGAGCCCTCATGAAAGGAGGGGGCGGTCCCATTGGGTGGAACATGTGTGGTCCAAAACCTGCAGAAGGGAGAGAACAAATTTGCTAGGCTTGTAGTTCCCTTGACAACGTTCCAAACCTCTGAACCTCTAAGGTCAAAACCATCTACATGTAAATCAAGGTTGACATGGGGCTTAAGCAAATGTCAGTTCACAAGACTTGGTCAGTAATATCCACCTGTGTTATTTCCCTGGTTTTAGAGACGTTTCCCCTAAGTCCAAAAAACTCCACAGGACTCAAGGTATCTGCCAGGATGTCATCAGAACCTCTGCTATGTATTAAACATGCCAAATCCTACCACACAGGATGCAGTCAGGATTTGGGAGGTGAGGAAGAAATCAGGCTGATGGCAAGACTCTGTCATCATTAACCCCAGTGCTGGACTGGTATCAGAATGGAGGGTGTTCAGAAGCCAGACTCTTCAGAAACTCTTCAGATCTCAGAACTGGCTACCTGTGATTTCCTTACTGTTCACACTGTCCCTGATACTCTCTAGAGCAGTAATATACAAAGTGCCAGCCTGCAACCTGTTTATTACTGGCCACTGACAAGTTAAAGAGCTTGAGCCAAAAGGTAACTCAATTACATGACCAAGCACATTGCTTAGTTTGTCTGACAGTTTTTTTGTAACAAGACTTTCTTAATGAAGGAAGTAATTCATTGATTTACATTCAGACACAAGCTTCGTATCTTGTGGCAGACAGGTGATAAATACTTTGTGAAATGACACCTATTCACAGTCCACACTCTGAGCAACAGTGCTCTAGGGCTGCAGTCCCCATCTCTTGGGCCTCAGACCAGTGGAGTGGCTGCAAACAGATTATCATTAGCAGAGAGGTTTGACTGCACAATAAATGTAATGTGCTTGAATCATTCCAACCCCCCCCCACCCCCGTCTGTGGAAAAACTGCCTTCTATGAAAACAGTACCTGGTACCAAAAAAGTTGGGGACCACTGCTCTAGGGCACTGGTAAGGATTTAGTTTAGAATAGGGAACGAATTGGTGCTAGATCACTGTAATCCAATAACTCCCACTCTGATTACACATTATACTCAGATCTCCAGAAAACTGGCACTTTCCTATACTTAGCAGGCCAGGAACAAAATGAAATATCAGAATCCCCACAGATCAGCTTTACTTGTAGACTTCTACAGGGCCAATGTGATAGACATGACTGTGAGGTGTGAGACAGGCCTTTCACAAGCACTCCTCTGGGCTAAGAAGGAAGATGGAAGTTACCTGGGGGTGGGGGTGGGGCAATACCAGGGGGTGGTGGTAGGGCAATGTTCACCACAGCTGGAGGACCACTTGGGGGTAAGTTGAAGTAGTTGGCAGAGGCTTCTTCTTCTGCTGCAGGAGGAGGAGGAAGAGCTGGAGGAAAGAATACAACCAACGCTTAGAAGGGAATACAACTGTGCAACATCATTTCTACCACCTTCAAATCGTTGGAGGTCCTGCTAGGGGAATGGAGCAGCTGCAGGAGCCAGATCTCAGTCGTCTTCTAAAAAGGGAACATCAAGGCAGACTGAGCTTCTGAAGTCAGCAGGAAGTCTGCACTCACCTCCTGGCAATCCTGGAACGGGCTCTAGCTTGATCCCAGAGTCTGTGGTTCCGTCCTTCTCTTTCTCTTTTCCTCTAGCAGCTTGGGATCTGGGAGACACATGTGCGCACAGGCTGTCAGCACTCTGTCCCACCTCATCTCACACCTCTGCTTCTCAAGATCCCCAAAGGGAGCTCCTTCACCCCTGCCTCCTCTTCAGCATACTCTTGTCCCATAAATGCCACAGTACACAGTAGATAAGAGCAAAGACTTTGACACAGAAAGACCTGGGTTTAAAACTTGCTAGAACTGTTATAAGGACTAGGAAAGGCAACACATCCATGTTTAGCACAGCGCTTGGCACACAGGGAGCTCTCCACAAAGGGAGACACTGCTGTTAGCCATCTCCTTCCTGGTTCCAAGCAAGAAACATGTTCGCCCTTTAAACTGGACATTTTACCTGTATCTCTTATGCAATCACCACTTTCAAGCTTAAAATATCTATTCTATATTTTATCTTCTTCACTAGGCAGTAAGCCTCTCAGGGAAGACTCTAGGTCTAATTCATTTATAAACCCTCAAATCTACCTTTCATACCTTGGCATTATATTAATACTTGGCCTATAATAGCTGGTCACAAAAACATGAACCTTCAAAGAAGCAGATTATTATCTCAAGCCCTTGAATACATTTTCTTTCTTTTTTTTTGAGGTAGAGTCTTGTTCTGTTGCCCAAGCTAGAGTGCTATGGCATCAGCCTAGCTCACAGCAACCTCAAACTCCTGGGCTCCAGCAACCCTCCTGCCTCAGCCT